ATACAAAATTCTACGTTTGAAACGGAATACACTAGAATCAAATGCACCTTGCATATATTCGACACAAGCAAAGTGGGACGTTGAAACCAGGCTTTACTTTTGTAAATTTTACTTTAAATGATCGACATACATTAATTACGAGCTACATTTCCTCTTCTATTCGCACTAAGTTAAAATTCGTTTCTTATTTTTATTCAATTATTGGATTTTAATGGAAAGACAACTGCACCCAAAGTCACCACATGCTTAAACCACAAATCAAGACTTTATATATAGTACAAGATCCTTACGCGTTTAGCCTCAATTTTGTAAGTTCAGATATTTTGTCAATCGATCGATAACGTTCAGTAATTTAGACTAACTAAAAAACTTTTTTTCATTTATAAATAACAATATTCGTTCAATTTTTTTAGTTTTTGAAATTGACTGAATGTTACCAGCATGCAGAGTCCAAACTCCATCAACCAGCAAAATTTGAACCAGTAATTTGATGCAAGACATAAGAAACGATGAAACTTTGGTAGTCAAATGTGACCGACAACTCTCAATAACTCTCTTAATTAAATCAGCATAACCGGAAGAAATATTTGGCCTTAAATTTGATTATACTTCGATAGTGTCAGAAACGGTCAGGTTCGTATCGTCAGCAAACAACCGAAGTTTTGTTTTATTCAGGCATTGAGGCAAATCATTAATATATAACAGAAACAATAGGGGCCCTAAAATAGAGCCTTGTGGTACACCACATTTGATCAATTTCTCTGATGAAACAGATCCTTGTATTTGGCATTTTTGGTTTCTATTTGAGAGATATGATTTTAGAAAAGACAGAGCTTGTCCTTTTATTCCATAAAGCTCTAATTTTTTCAATAATATTTGATAGTCGACAGTATCAAATGCTTTTTTTAAGTCAATTAGCTACCAGGTTAAACATTTTGCGGTCTAAATTCATATACCAATCATTTGTACAGTCAAGTAATGCTGTAGCTGTAGAGTGAAATTTACGAAAACCGAATTGACAGTCACCCAGAAGGTCAAATTTGGTTAAATAATTGTATAGCTGATCGTACAGAATTCCTTCCATAATTTTGCTAATGACAGGCAGAACTGAAATTGGTCTGTAATTTCCTGGCAGGTTTCGTTGGCCATTTTTATAGAGAGGTATCACTCTAGCCGTTTTCCATTCGTGAGGGGAAAGGGATAGGATAATAGCTTGATTGAAAATATATGTGAGTGAATCTGAAATGGCAGGTGCAGCTATTTTAATAATTTTACTGGAGATCTTATCAACGCCGGTGGCTTTGTTGCTAGAAAGACCATGTAAAAGATGGTAGACATTGCTGACAGTGACTGGCTGGAATGCACTGAATTCTGATTTAGCCTTTTCAACATATGTTTGAAAGTTCAAATTTGGAGTATCAATTTTGCTAGCTAGATCAGGGCCAATATTTGAAAAATAATTATTAAAGCCCTCCGCAATATCTTTGGTATTTGTCAAACTATTTTCACCTAATTTTAACTCATTTACTACTGTTGGTTTGCTTTGCCTACCTAGTATATCGTTTATAGTTTTCCAAGCTTCTTTAGGGTTGCATTTTTGATCAGAAATTTTAGTGGAGTAATAATTTTTTTTAGCATTCCTTAGCTGAATATTAACTTTGTTTCTCGTTGTTTTGTAATTTAACCAGTCTATCTCTAGGTTTGTAATAATGGCCTTTTTTTTTAATCTGTCCCTTGCTGATTATAAGTTGCTTTATAGCACTTGTAATCCAAGGAACTTTTTTTGTTCTAATCTTTTTATGTTGAAGTGGTGCATGGTTATCCAAGACCTCTACGAATAATTTCTTCCAAATTTCCCACATAGCGTGAGGATCTTGCGAAGAAGTATACATTTTCCCAGGGTTGTTGCCTCAGATCCTCAACAAATTTTTGATGATCAAATTTTTTCATATTTCTTATCTCAACTTTCTTCTCTTGTTTTTAAAACACTGTATACAGTGTTATTTTCAACCTTCTGTCTTTAAATTCAAACTATTTATCATCAGATTTACATTTCTGGTCCGAGTTTGATAAAATCCAAACCGGAAACACGACTAAACATGTCGAAACAATGCGTCGTTTGTACGCGTGACTCTGCAAATGCCAGAAATGATTCTACAGGTCAAAGTGCACCTATACGCGTGAGTTTGACGTCATCCTGGCTAAAGGAGCTCCTTATTGGCCAAGTATTACGTAATACAAGCGCGTGCGGGTAAAACCCGATACCTTGAAAAATTCAAAATAAACATTTCTAGTCTGCGTATTCATACGAAACTTTCTACACGAAAGCGCTTGAATACAAAGAGTATATTTTACACATATAGCCTTTCAGAAAATGACGAAAAGTTTAGAAGATATTCAACTTTTTCTCTTTTTTTCGTTTGAATGTTTGGCGAAGCGGTGAGTATAAATATATGATTGATTGATTGTTTCGGTTTGTATAATGTTGTGACGGCACTTGAACCCCCGTTCCAAAGGTTATTTTGTGAGGATTTCAATGGTGGGTTTTGTTTTAAAGGAGGGTAAATACTCGCCGACATATTTACATTAGAAAAATTCAATCGTAATGTAATGCGAAACCACTTGTCGAGAAGCGCTCCGAGTCGGAAGTTCGAGGGTACTCACTGTGCCCACCGTTCACAATGTTCACGTTGCCGTAAATGAGGACAGAGCCCGAGAAATAATGTTTGGCTAACAATGAGACATAATGCTGACTATAAATCCAACTTTCGTTTTCATTCTTAAGATTATACGGCAGCAGATATGGCAGGGCGTCGTGATGAAATGCATTGAAACATGCATCAAAAAGATATCCTGAGAGAATATGACTCATAGACACCGTTCCCGCCAGGTTTATTTCTTTGCCATTTACATCGGTGGGACTTACCATGGCAATACGCTGTAATTCCTACTGCGGGTTCGTATTTCACTAGAAAATTCTCAAAAGATCGCCATTGACGTTGGTATCGACATTTGGCCGCAGAGATGCGTCCTCGTCCATAAATATGTAGTAGAGGTACGTGGTTTTTCTCTTCATGGCGTGCTCGTAAATATGGCAAGCGATACGATTCAAAATACAATGACGCACTTATATTACTTTGAGAGTTAGATTTTCCTCTTAATTTTCCGTTTACGCATTTAGATAACGAGCTCCGCTTAATGCTACTATTACTTTATTTCGATAAATTTAAATACCTACGTATCGTTACGCACAAAAATTACATACGAAGAATTACCATGGAAATACGGAGAACATAACTATACATATGTATAATTTCCGTGCAAATTACCTACGCAAAATTTAACTATGAACATAACATTTAATTATGTAGGTTAAAGTTACATACGTAACTGTCAACACTCTTAAATATAATCACATAGGTAAATTTACCTACGTAACTGTCAACACTCTTAAATAGAATTACATAGGTAAATTTACCTATGTAACTGTCAACACTCTTAAATAAATTACATAGGTAAATTTACCTACGTAACTGTCAACACTCTAAAATATAATTAAATTGGTAAATTTACATACGTAAATTTACCTACGTAACTGTCAACACCCTTAAATATAATTACATAGGTAAATGTACCTACGTAACTGTCAACACTTATTTAATTAAGTGCATAGGGTATGTAAATGTCAGCAATCATATTAACACAGGATGAGGTATTTAGCACTAAAGCACTCTTGACTTTTCTTGATTATTTAGTAAATCTTTATTATATTAAAATACAATAATATAGTAGGGCCTATTTTTTTTTTTTTTACATATACAATGTCATGGTTATCCCTCGACTTTTCAACAAAATGAGAGTTCTCTTTAACCTACAATTAAAGCTGTATTGAAAACTTTGACTTCTGACAGTCTAACTGTGTATCAATGACAATACAGGTAATATCGGAAAAAAACAACAAGAAACTGCAAGAAATAATTACATTATAAACAATGTTAACAGACAATCACGGTCCTCCTCTCGATACTTTATGGATTAAACACAACAGTTAAGATATAATTTAGCAAGGTCTAGGACTAGGGTGGGATTCGTGGCACAGTTCAATATCGAATAAACATGCAATTATTTAGTTAGAAATTTTGGGGAAAATTTTATTACATAATCTATTAAGTTAATATTATAGAACACATGCACTAGAGTTTGATTTCTTCAAAGATCACTTTTTGTCTTAAAAACTTGTAGGTATCTTGTGGTGCGAAACTAAATTATAGTAATAAAGATGCCCATAGTGCTGGAAGTGGAGTTTAACGGTCTTTACTAGAAGTGCACACAGGTGACCACAAGTGGCCATGAATGACCACGAGTACTGTGACAAGGAGTATAGTAGAAAGCTGTTTCGGAATATATTTTTATAGCATAAAAAGCGAAAAAAAGGAATGGCGGGAATAACACTCGGCATAAAATATATATTCATAAAATATAAACCAGGAAAGATTTATATCACTGCAAGTTCAATTAATTTAAACTCTTTTTCTCACATCACGTCAATAACAACTCAGTGAAATTGTGATTTTACAAAGTTAACAAAATATCAGTATATTTTTTTCTTATCAAATTCTTTGCTGGCATGACAATTGTTATTAAAGTATATATGAAATGAAATTTCTTATTTTCTTAAATGAAATAACTCTTTGAGCTGTAGTGTAACTTATTTTTCAGTTTCTTGTTTTTATGGTTTGTTCCCGAGATATTTCAACTTTGTTTGATATGTAAATGAGTGTGAATATGTTCGCTAATTATGACGTCATGTTGGGGCTATCATCCAAGATGATAATTTCAAACTTTACTCACTGGTAAATGTGATGAAACACTGGAAAAAATGTGAACTTATATAAACAGTTTTTAGAGTTAATAGATTATAACCATTGTAAGTTGAGCTTGCAACCAACATGACGTCATAAATTAGCGGACATATTCACACTCATTTACTAGCATCAAACAAATTGAAAACTGAAAAATAAATTACAGTAATAAATTAAAGAGTTCTTTCATTTAAAGAAATAATAAATTTTATTTCATATACATTTAATAATATATAGATGTGAGAAAAGAGTTGAGTTGCAAAAAAGTAAATCACAATCTTACTGTGCATTATTCTTTCGCAGTTTGTAATTCGTTAAGAATGGGTTTATATTTATGCCGAGTGTTATATTTCCTCGACGAAAACAAACGTTTTTTTGCTTTTTATAACAATCTGTTCCGAAACAGCTTTTTATCACTCCTGGCCACTCGTCGTCACTCAATCGAGGTCACTCCTGGTCAATCGTGTGTAGTTTTAGTCAAGATCGAGCTTACTAACTGATTATAGTCGTTGTACCCAATTGAGCACTCGATATTGTCCAGCAAAAGTTACAACGAAAAACAAATAAATTTTCAGTCAATTAATTAAAAAAACCTCCTACTTTACTTCAAAAAAAGCATGCACTATTTATACTAGCTCAACCTTTCAGTCACTGATGCTGTCTACCTATAAGCATTTATTAAAGTATATCAAGTCGAATATTGTGAGTTATTTGTTGCATAGCTTTGAGTCCAGTGGTTCAGCAAGGACCTCTAACGTATATTGGCTATACAGTATATATAGGCTACATCTTAGGTATGATGATCAGTATTGCTTATATTAAATGTTGAGTTTCAAGAGGAAACTAATATTCCGAGTTTGTTGATACCTTATCTAAATATCTATCAATAAACAAGAAATATATTTGCATGTCGATACTAAAATGACATTACATGCATGATTGCAGGTAGTGTGTCGAGCGCAGGATAAACAGATAGTATACGTAATATGGTCTGTTTGAGCGGTTCTGTCAGGAAATACCACTTGCATGCATGCGTTTTCGGCATTCGCACTCACGGCATGTTTCACATGCAAGCGATTTTATATTAATTTCTGCGCGAGTACTGGAATAGATTGGTTATGTGTTATTATATATGATGTTATGTGTAGCGATGTATAGCTAGTATAGCCTACGAATGATTTGCTATAGCTGGCTGTACCGCACCGATTTCTGTATTTAAAATGCAATGACATATAAAACTTTGACAAGTTATGTACACATATATAGTATGATAAAAACGAGTTTAATTAATGAAAATGTGTTATAGAATACTAACATTTTTACATTTTTGGCGCGTATCATATGCTTGATATATCTACATGCACGTACTAACGTACATTTAGATAGCCTATTAGCCTATATACATTTGTTTGATTCTTTACAATACTGTTCATTATTTCAATACATGCTATTGTAAGAGGAATTTTAATTACTGCAATAAAACGTGCGTGCAGAATTTCACAATAATAGGCCTAAGTGAGATATAAAGACTAATGGCGCGCGCTAGCATGAGACATGCATGCATACCTGTACATCCTGCGCAGCTGCATATTGGTTTGGATAAGTATACCAATTAATATAAAGGATAAAATGAGTGCTCACAGCTCACTTACTTCTTCATTAGACGATTGTAAGATATTAGTATAAGACTAAACGTATAACACTGCCAACAAATCCAAAGGACAAATTGCCCTTCGTTCTGCCATATAGCCTACGTACTCAAACACGATTTAAACGAGCAATTGGTATCGAATTACACTAACGTCATGAAATTAAATGTTTTCAATTTTAAGAAAAATCTTTAAAAACGTCCTTTAGAAGTAACTTGGAATTTGCTGAACTTATCTTCGTTGTAATTCACATGCATGGTTTTACTTTGTTTAAAATAGAAGAAGAGTATGCCATTAACATGCCTGAAAAATCCCGATTCAACGCTATTCTAATGTATATGCGTTGGTAGCTCATGCACTGTCTAACAAAAAATTACATGGGCGCTGTCATGAACGACATGCATGTCTATACATAGCACTTCCTTTAATCGTTTAATAAATAATGCCAACTGCATGCAATCAGATAAACATTGGGCGTAGGCGACCAAGTCAAGCCCCAATTCATGTTATGCATGCATAAACAGTAAATTAGCATGACGGATTAGCATAAACCGGATCTAGCATGTTCCGAAAATACTTATTAAATTAAGTATCAACACTTTTTTATTGAGCAGATCATCGCACATCATTATAATAAAAGAAAAAATGTACTCCGAATAATAATATTATATACCATCTTGCAAACTCAAGATAATTATGAGTTATTTAACAAAAACAAGATACAAATGTTGGTGGTGAATATTTCGACTCCATTTGTCCGTTTGGATTCAAAATCTACTATTACTATTATTAAAGTTGAGATAACATGAACAGGTCATTTGTCAAGCTATTCGCGTGAGTAAATTTCTAATTGGTCTTTCCGCATCTGATAAATTAGCGCGATAACTGGTATGACAATCTGACAGGAATATCGGTCGCAAAATTATATTTTGAAAGTGTAATTTAAAAAATATAAATGTCTTAAATACGTCCTAATGAATTATTTTCTTAATTAAATTTCTTATTATTTTCTTTCATGCGTTTCTGATCTGTTTTCTTTGACAATGTTTCGTCTGACTTTCTGCTTGCTTGCTTGCGTGCATGTATGTATGATGCGTTGTAGAATGTATTTGGCACGTAGTGCAGTCTGCAGGAAATTCATTATTGTTGGTAGCCATCTGACCTGGTATTCTGCTTTATGTCATTCGTCATCATACCTTACCTTTGCCGTCGGGCATTATACATTTAATTAAAGCGTCACACTGAACGAAGGAGTTTTTCAAATAACCTATCGCTGTCAATGCAATTATGCAAGATCACTCTCTCAGTTTAAATACTTTTTGATAAAATACAGGAATAAAAATATTTCACTGATATGGGTTTTCCAAGGGAAATTTTTTTGAATATTGTTATTGACAATAATATTGTTTGACCTGTTG